CATACGCCCACGCAGTAAAATTCTCGCATCGTTGAGCGAAAAAAAAAATCCGACTGGCGCGCGTCCATTACGAGAAAATTATCGGGTAAAAAGAAGAAGGGTGCGAGAGTGAGTGAGCCTCGAGGACCTTCACAAGAGTGAGATCAATACGCACTCTCTCTCTCTCTCTCTCTTTCTAGTCCCCACCCCGTTCTGCTGCTGCATCTGTGGCGCACAACTCTCTGCCGTCTGGCGCTCCACACACGTGCAGCGTCGTCGTGCGCGTGCTTGGCTTTTTTCGCGGCGCGAGTGCCTACGTACGCTCTGGGTTTGTTTCGGCTTGACTGTCGGAGGAAGAAATGATGACCAAATTCGTAGGAGGTATTTTTTCGTCTTTTAAAAGATCTTGTTGATATTACAATAGAACGAGGCGCAATTATTGCTTCAGACTCGAACGTTTCGCGAATAACGAGCGAAGAGAGCGATTCATTTTTGCATAAAAACATAACGCGCACGCGCGAATAATCTGCATTGCCGTAGCTTTTAAACAAACAGAAGTTCGTTACACAAAGTAAAAGCGATGGGACGAGCGCGGCAGCGACTGCAAATTAAATTGCTTGAAACGTCACCCTGTAGTGAACATGCACTTCGTTTTGCCGCGAATACACCTTCGTGTTTAATTTCATTCGGCCATCAGCAATATATACCACAATAGTTCAGATTCTGTCTACTTGCAGCTTCTCCCTCGCATTACCGCACACCGCACGTCCCGTATTTCGTCATCTATTTAGCGCGCAATCAACTCTAATTGGCCAAGTACAAGACTAACAGCAAACCGAGGCAGATTTTGCAGGCCGCGGGTAGAAACTTTCACGAAGGCACGTTTGCGTGAGCTCTATTAATACGCTATTGCGGGCTCGTTTTGCATTGCAACGGCTCGATTCAGAAGTGCCTGTAAGGTAAGAGCTTTCGATTCGCCAGCGACAACAGCGGTCCCCAGTGGAGCATGTCGACACCATAAAAATTGAATGCCGCATGAAGCAACGAAGAAAAAGGAAATAGGAGCGGGGATAAGCATTAATTAACGAGTAGCGAAACAACGCCTCCTCTTGCCAAAAACCAGTAGCATTCAGAATTTGATTCTGCGGCGTGCTGCTGTTGCTGCTGCTGTTGCTGCTGCTGCTGCTGCTGCTCTCGGTTGACCCGTTTCGAAAGCAGTCGAGCGGAAGTCGATTCGCGTTAAACGACATCGAAAATTATATTGGGCCGTGCTGCTGCTACCTGTATACTGAATCAATCGTTTGATGAGAGCCGAACCTGCTTTTTTTTTTTAATAGTTTTCTTTCTGTTTTTTAAAGTCTATTGAACTTTTTGATGTGATTCCTCTGTTTCTATTTGTCGGAATATTTCGTTAAAAATACGGAAATATAGCTCGGGTACGAGATTGATTGGTGTTAGACAACAGTTCGTTGGAGAAGAATAAATTTTTGAGCAAAACGTCAATAACTTCGATTGTGTTTTGCCGATATACATTAAATATTGGAAGATGAAAAGAACAATGGCGCGATTCAAAAGCCGCTACGCGCTTTGATTTTTCAAAAGTTAAAAAACCGACAAATTCTTGGAGGATTCGCGAAGACCATGCGCGCTTGATTTTCTTTTGAAAGAATCAACGTGCAGGAAACGACTTCTCCAAGATATTCTCACCAAAACATAAATAAAATGAAATAAATGATTCGTAACCGTAAATATTTCGATGTCTCGCATTTCCCATTTTTTTTTGTTCTCGCCTTCGGATTTCACTACGTCTGACTAAACTAGCACTATTCCACTTGGTTCATGCGAAAGGTGTAGTAATAACTCGAATTATCGGGTAAATTCGTAGTAAAGCATGGAGTTACCGTTTAATCAGCGGAAACGGAAGAATCCAACAATCGATTGCGAGCTGCCGCTCACGCCTGTATTTCTTCAAGCGATATATAGAAAAAGTAATTATCCGATAAATCAAAGGGGTCGACGTTCCACACTTGCTCTTGCTGAGAAATGTCTTTTAAAGCTGATTAAAATGACCCGTAGCTTTTGAAGGATAAGCAGTAAATTGAACTTAGATTTTTAAAGAATGCATTAAATTAAAAGAAAACATAACAAGTAATTTAATTGTTGTATTACTATAAGTTAATCAAAAACCTAATTATCACATTTTCGTTTCACATTTGACATTTTCATTTACGTTTTGTCGAAAAGCAAAAGAACCGGGGTTGCATACTCTTCGCAAAGGCAAAAAAAAAAATTCTGCAAAACCTAGACCGCTAAAGAAAGTAAAAGAAAAACAACGCGACTTAAAAGTGAATAGCGACAACAAAGTGCAAGGTCACAATTCGCTCTCGAAACATCGAAATTACTGAACGCTCGTTTGGGCCTTTAAATTTTCAAACAGCGATTTGGTCTGCACACCTTTAAAAAGGTTCGACCGTGGCTGCGCGGAAAGTTTGATTTCTGTTTTTCGTAGGTCAGCGCCGAGGAACGAGAAGGGGAGAGATGGAGATAACGAGCAATGTAATATGTATGAGACAGAGTAAGAGAGAATTCGAAGGCTTTAAAAGCTCCCTTGGAAATGATCGCGACGATCGATGTAGCGGCACTTTGTTTCCTATATAAGACGAACGTTGGTTTTATTTTTCAAGGCTGCAGACACGCGAACGGCTTATATGCATATGCTCGATCGTGTGAATTGAATTCCGGGGATTTGGATGCAGCGCTTTTCGCACATTGAATAATGTCCGCGCGCGAATTTCGCTGGCTTTGAATTTTGATGAGCGCGACGGGGTATTCTCAAACCAAATCTGTTTTAAACGCGAACGGATTCGATCAAGGCGTTTATAATGCATCGGGGTATTGTTTTCGAAATTGATTGATCAACGCTAGCGCGTGGTTTAGAAAAGCTCGCGATAAATTCGATATAGTTCGATAATCGCGAGAGCGTTTACGTTATTAAAAGGCCTGGAGGGTGGGAGTTGAATTGAAACGTCAATTTTTCGAAGTCCATCATAAAATTTTTCAAAACGTCAATGCATTATTCACAAAGTTTTCCTGATTAAAGTTGCATAAACTATGTGTCGGCCGGGTGAGTATAAGTTCGTATACCGATGGGGACGAAACGGAATCGAAGGTCCGAAGAAAAGTTACAAACCGGTATGTTACACTGATTCATTCGGAGTACAAGATTTTCATGCTAATTGCAGTCAGTTGACCGCTTGTATATCACAATACGAGCAATATATAATTCTGCGAACTATCGAGGCCTCAATATCAGCAAACTTTCAAGTTGTCACTAGTTACGGGACCTGCGATGGATAGCCAATCAATTATGTATCTTCTAATGATAAAAGGAGAACAAATAATTTCCTCGACTCGCACTTAATTTTTACCAACGAAAATTAACAATAACTTCAAGCTGACTCGTCTTCGAGATATCGACGAATCAGTTTCGGCAAGCAAATAAACGAGAAAAGAATAATTAGCGAGTAGTAGGTCGAGGCCGGGCGAAGCCATTTACGATAATCGGGGCTATGCTGCACTGGCGCGTCATCGTAGTTGCAAGTTTTCCCGTTGCGCCATTTTAACGAGTCTCCTTCCTCGATCGCGGCCTCCCGTGTCTCTTCTCGCTTCTCATTTTCCATCGGCGTTGTTGCGCGCCGTCCGCGATAATCCCTCCCTCCCCTGCGCGATTGAGTCAACTTGCCGCTCGGCGGGGGCTCTGATTAGCCTGGGTTTGCGAAAGGTGCGCCGCCGCTACGTTTACCGCGATTATTTTCGGCAAATGGAGCACCTCTCTTGACAGGAGAGAGAAAGAGAGAGAGAAATAGGTCGACAGGGATTATCGATCTGCGAGGCTTGTTCAAACCTTCAAGTCGCAAAGTGTAAGTAGGGAGAAAGTTGCTTTTTCATTGGACGGCTATTCGCACGTTGTGTGAAATTTATTAGTCATGTACTTTAAAAGCGTGTAAGTCATTCAAGTGCCCGTCAGTTTACACGATGAAAAATAACAGCTAAATAAACGATGATTAGCCTGTTCGTAGAGTCCTGAATCCCACGAAAACATTTAGATGTGGAAAGTAGGTAAAGAAAGACACGATATCATCGAAGTACACAAAATTGACTCGTGTATTCAAGCCAGAACTACGCTGAAAGAAGCAAAAGGACAAAAAAAAAATAAAGACAGGGAAGAAGCGTTCATTGAATTTCATATATCTCGCTAGTTGGAAAAATCCGCGGAGTTGAATGAGAAGTCGAAAAAGCGCTGAAAGGCCGTTTCATCTCAAAGGTATAGGCTTTGTAGAAGCAAACATCTCTCGGGGCTTTCAATGTACTCTTGCGAAAGAAAACATTTTCATTTATCAAGCGTCATTAAGCCGGTCGCTTGAAGAATGTGAGAAATAAGAAAAAACTTGTCGGGCACTTTTGTACTTTACAGTAGGCAGTCGGTGCTGGCAGTGCGCGCTTTGCCCTAGTAATCGCAAATGTCCCAGACGAGCGGCGCCCCAAACTTTACCTCCGACTTTGAGTTCGCATTATCCCTCGGCACTCTGCTCTCTGCGCGTGCACCTATAATTTTCGGACAGGTTCGTGATTTTCTCCGTTACTCTTGCTTGAAAGTTCGCGGATTATTCTAAGCCTTTTTTACCGAGCAGCAGTGAAGAATTACAGTAAAAATACACTCTCGCCATAAAAAATAAGGTCCAACTGAAAATACAGAATAAAGATCAAAAGCGACTGTTAGCGCTGCTGTGGGGTCAGCATCAAGCCAGTAGTTCAATTGAGTTGTAGTAAAGCTCTTCGCACCCAGTCCATTACATACTTACTCTGTCTAGATGTAATTTGTCGTCGGTGTTGAACTTTCGCTAGTAAAGCTGTGCGAGAGTTAGTATGGGGTTCCGCTTGAGAATTTCTTAAAAAACGAAACGTCGGATGTGAAAAATAAGAATCTTTCTTTGATGAAAACTGATCGCTATATTTTTTCACTAATGTTTTTTTTTAACAATAAATAAACGATGAATCATCAATTAACTTATTTGACGCAGTATCGGTCTTAGTAGTATATATGTATATATATATATATATATATTTATATTTTTTCTTGTTGCTTTCGTGTCCGTCGTAAATACTCAGTTTATACGACGAATTGTATAATCATCATACACGTTTCTAAAAAACGATGTTCGAATCTTACAACTGTTTTGTATGTCGGCTGTTGAATCGATCTCCATTTTATTTTTCATTGCTCTTGTGAATTTTGTTTCTTCCCTTCTTCGATAATTCATTACCTTTTATTCATTTATTTTTTCTTATTTTGGTTGTTGTCCATTAGCTACTTTCGTTAATATGCGAAGCTTAACTTCTACTCAATAAAACGTCGTCTATAAAACTACTATAAAAGAACCTCGTAGAAAAATCTTCGCGAATCTATGTGCTACGTATACGAACGATCGTCACAAAAATATCTATGATGTCATTACACATTAGACAGAAGGATTTTAACGGAAAAATCGAGAGGGAGGAAGTTATATATATTTATATAGATAACCGAAAGGAAGCACACGCTCTAAAAAATGTTTTTTTTCTTTAACTCCCAACTGCTGTGTTTATCGTGTGTTTGTGTCCATTTGTTCTCTCCCTCTCTCACCTTTTTTTCTCTATTTTTTTTCTCTATCTTTTTCACTTGCTAGAGTTGTTATAGTATGCTTTTGATGTGGCGGGGAGATACTGAGTGGAAAGGTTCGTTTGTGCTCGATAAAAGCTCCTCGTTGGCAGACTGCCTTTGAAAATCCATGAGTATCCTCGATTTGTATATTTTTTTTATTTCTCTTATTACACATACACACAGTCGACTCGTATTTTTAACTATTATATATACCTATTATATGTATAGTGTCAACATCGTCGGTATGAGAATTCGCGTCACGTGTGTCTCTCAATTAGTTGTTTAATCGTTTTTTTTTCTTCCACGTTGAACGGAATAAATAAGAAAAATCAGCGACAATCAAAAGAAAAATCGTAAAACACTCCTCGTATTTTTTTATTTGTGTCTATTTCTCATCTTTCGTTTGTTTTGTGTTTTGCATTTTTTTTTCTCTTTATTAATCAAACATGTGTCTAAGTACATCGACTTTAAATTTGTTTTATGTATTTTTTATATTTTTTTTGGTGGGCCTTTTTTACTCAAGTTCCCCTAAAACGCACTTTGAACGAGCCTCCTAAACAGAGTGCACATCTAAAAATTTTTTTATTATTTCCCATTTTCTTCCTTAAATTTGTTTCTCTCGCCCTCTATACACGATCTCGGCCCCATACGGCGTCGGCTGTCAACGCTGTAATCGGGTAAAATCTCTTTCTCACACGCACACTCTCATGCACGCACGCGCACAGCTTTTTCACGTCTCTCCTAGGTGTATACGTGTGTAGTTAATAACGCGAGGCGCAACGTAAAAGAAAAAAAAAAACAAACGGCGAAGAAGAAGACACGGACAGAACAATATATACTTCGGCCGAACGTTCGCTCGCGACGAGAAAACGACGGGTGGCGCGAAAGTGTTTATTATTATTTTTTTTTCCATTACTTTACTTTATATTTCTATAATATTTGTACCTATGTATATCCAACTTTCTTTCTCGCACAAAAAAGGAGGCGTGTGTGCGTGTAGTGGGTAATATGCGAGTCTGTACGTGTAGGGCTTCCACAGGAAAAGGGTTATAAAACGTTGCAAGCGCGACGCAACTAACAACTCGGCCTTTTCACCCACAAGCCGTATTCGCATTGTTTGAATTGTATTCTATAATAAGTATTGTTGTATATTATTTATAAGGGCGGCGCTAAAAGGAGGAACACGAACTCCTCGTTCTTTCTTTATCCCGCATTGTACAAGTAAAAAAAACACGCGCGCAGGACGTACGTGGCGATCATCGTGAGTGTTTCAACATTTTTTTATTGTGCGTATCGTGACTTTCCGCCCTGCCGTCTCTCTCTCTCTCTCTCTCATTCTCGTTTTCTCTATGTATATACTTTTATTTTCCATCCGTGATAGTTATATGGCCATCTGTCTTTTCTTCGGAGACGTTCTAACGTGTGTAAATAGTGTTTCCGGGCGGTGCAGACTAGCAGAAGTGTGCGCGACTGCATATCTGGCGTTTTTATGAACTTGCCGATGACAGCTTGGCATATCCGACTTTGTGGATAATTTCTGTAATGATTATTGGCTCGACGCTATATTTAGTGAATGGCGATTGAAAATTATAACCCTGGAAAATCAATGGACCTAACAATGTTCGTTCCGCGACAAGTTTAAGTTATTCTACATCGCGGTACTTCAGCGTTCGGCGATTTATATAATTGCTATCTACGCACGACATATCATTTATGTTTTCATATCGCTAATTATTTATTTCTTAATGTTAATGACTTCATTATACTTCACGATTGGTATAACATTATGCTAAACGAACAATGTCCTATTTTCAGTCTATTGAGAATGTTTAGTACGGAATAATGAGAACAAAATAAAACTCGTATTTTCAGGAACTTTGAAAGAAAATATGTTCAATCGCATATTCCAATCAGTGACGCTCACTTCTGCCGTCGTAAGACAAGAGTTTAACATGCATACAGGGGGACAGAATGCCAGAATCGGAAGTATAGAAGCAGACTAAGATAGAAGAGGAAAAAGAACAACAATAACATCAATAACAACAACTGCATCGGCAGTCACGTCGCATATATATATACATACATACATACATACATATATATATATATATATATATATATATATATATATATATATATAAGAAAACTTGGACTTGTCGCGATGTCTTTCGTTAGTCTCTTTTAAGAAAATCAAGAAAAATGAATGTACATACGCGCTGACAAAAAAAGAAAACGTAACGCCGCTTCTGGAAGTACAGACATGTATTCATCAACGCTTTCTTTCTTTTCAAGGAGGTGTGGGGGGATTCACACGGGATCATATATACCCCGGCACTTCGTAACTTGCTTGTAATACGAGTCTTTCTGTTCTCTTTTTGCCTCAAGGTGTCGACATCGTCGTTTATCATCTAAGTTTTTGTGTATTTTTTTTCTGCTTCAAGTACAATATATATATATATATATATATATATTTTTTTTGTTATCATAATGCATGTAATGTCTAAACGAACACATATTATACCTCGGTAAACTCGGCTTCTCTCACAACTCGCTCACTCTCCATATCGCGGCAGACGCACGCGCGAAACAAACGCGCGCTACTCGCTTAGCTCTATCTCTCTCTCGTTCTCTCTTGCAGTCTCTCGTCATGCTCGCACGGTAGTTAACACGGCAAATCCGATCTCACCCTGTGAGCATGTGCTCGTCACACGTACGATTCTTTGCAATTTGTTTTGCTTTTCATGCTCTCCCGCTTGCACGCACGCGTTCTATTACATGTGTGTGTCTGTGTGTGTTTGTGTGTGTGTGTGTGTGCGTGCCATAGTTGGCGAATGTGTCGGGCATATACCGCGTGCACGCGGAAATTCTCTTAGGCGCTTTTATCTCTTTTACACTCTCGCACTGTACACATACATACGCGCATACGTACGCGCGCGGCTGAGTCTCTTTTTCTCATGTTGTTTATAAACACTTGTGTTTTTTTTATTTTATATTTTATTTATTTGCTAATTTTTTTTTGTTTTGTTTTTGGAGCTGATTGCGCGGATTTAGCGTGTCTTTTTGTTCGTTTGTCAATTATATTTTTCATGTTTCTTCTTTACTTCTTTGGCGTTCTTGCGTCGGTAACTTACAAAACAGTTTTTAAACGTCAACAATGGATCTTACATATGTGAATAGAACATTAATATATAATCTTTTTTATTCTTATTTCTCTTTTTTCTCTTCTTTCTCGTCTTTTCTCATCTTTACAAGTAATGTTGTGGGTGTTTGCCACTGCGGTTTCTTTTTCACTCTGGTAACTTTTTATAAAATTAATCAATTTTTATTTTCGTTTAACAAGTAACAATAGCGTGTCCTTTTCTTTTGCCCGTGACTTTGCGTTTTTTTCTTCTTTTTTTTTTCTTTCGCCTTCTTCAAAATATACTCGTAAAATCTAACGCCGCGCTCTTCCGTTTCGCAGGACGATTTGGCAGGGGCACAACGGAAGTATTTTCTACGAAAACGGAAATTTGAGTTTAGCCCGTCACTTTATTGGAGTATCGATGCGAATTTCCCGTACACGCGGCCGCGCCTTCATTGATGAGAAGAACAAAGGCGAGAAACGACTCAATGAAACACGCCATCATCAACGATAATATTGTATTAGTTAAAACGCGCTATTCTTTTTTTTTTGTTTTTCAACAGTTCACTCTCGCTCGCTCGCACTCGCACACGATTCGGGCAGGCCGATTAGACACACCGCCGCGCTTGAATAACATTACGTTTGACTTGGACGCGCGCGGTTGCGCGCTTCATCGTCATTTCATCCTAAATACGTCGGTATAATTTTTTTTTTTATTTTTATTGTTTAGTAATAATAATTGCGTCGCCGAGCTTGTTTCGCCCTCCCCCCTTGCATCGCGCATGAAACGTTACGCGACCAGTGTCCGTTTTCTGCCACATCTATATAATATGGTTCTCAAGTGTCGCCTCGGGTGTGTCTTTCTAAATTGTCAATCACACACTTGGCCTCGGAGATAAATTATTAATCCCATCGCACTATGTATAATAATGTGTATAATAATAACGTACTTCATTTCACTGAACGCATATATATCTCGTGTTGTCCGCCTCTCGTTTCCGCCTGTCAAATCTCTTTCTCTCGCGCTTCGGCAACTCACTCTCGACCTCGTTCACTCTCTCTCTCTCTTCCGTTTGCTCGTTCTCTCGCTTCCGAAAGCGCCTCGCGAATCTCGTGTATTCGATTAACCGTTAATTATTCATTAATCATTATTATTGTATTATTGTTTATTATTATTATTATTTTTTTATTTCCATTAGCATTCTCCGTTCGTAAGCCTCGGTTTCATGATAGCGCGCTCGCGGCGTCGCTCTGGGAAATGTAATGGTCGATCATAGACGAGGGCAGGCGACGGCTGACAATCTGCTGCCACGGCGCGTCAGCGGCAGGGGGTCCAGCCGCTGCTCTCCTTCTCCGCGCTCCACTTTGTCCCGCCTCGTCCCAGCCCCGGAAAGGAAAAAAAGATAGTAGCGAATTGCGTCGGTGTACATTCTCTCTCTCTCTCTCTCGCTCGCGCTCTCTCTCTCTCTCTCTCTCGATCCGAATTCCAGTTGCGTCGAACGGTCGCGCGTCGTGCCACGCTAAGACGGCTCCCGGCTCCAGCTGGCGGAGCGCGTGCAGTGCTGCACGCGCGGCTGGCGACGCTTCTTCCATCGGCACGGCCAGAGCCAGCGCCAATGGCGACGCCAGCAGTGCCTCCAGCACCAGCAGCGCCAGCGCGGCGGTCTGTTGGGGCGCGCTTGGATCGGCGCCCCGACGATGAGCTTGCGAACGCGCATCGGAGCCGGTGCCGCCGGCGGGTTGGCGCGATCATGCAGCAACACAAGCGACATCAAGCAGTGCAGACGGCGGCATAGCGCGGCGAGCAACGACGAGCACTGGCTCGAGAACAGGACGCCCCAGAGCCAAAACAGACAGACGAGGGGTAGCGGCGACGCCGGCGCGGCTGCTGCTGCTGCTGCTGCTGCTACTGCCGCCGCCGCCGCCGCCGAGGATGACGCGGCGGACGACGACGGCGACGTCGAGTGACTTGTGCTGCTGCTGCTGCTGCTGCTGCTGCTCAACAATGTGGTGGAAATGGCGGTGGTTGTGGTGCTGCTGGTTGTACTGGCTGGGGATGGCTCGACGTCTGGTAACTCAGGGCTCGGCTGTATCGAGCCGATGCCGCTGATCCCGCAGAACGGCGAGCGTCTGGGTGGCGGACCTGCAAATGTAAACATCTCGATTTCGCTTTCCAGTCGAATTAATAGCCGAGGATCTAACGAGCGCTGGTGCGTCGAGTCGTTTCTGATTGGGAAAATAGATAAGCCGCTCGCGTGTGGGAATTAAACGAGTTAATTCCTTCGAGGTTGAAGAGTAAGTTTTGCAATTAGAAACTTGCGGGGCTGGGGAGTGTTATTAGATGATGGTACCGTGGGATAACAGGATATGCCATTGCAGACGCGGCGTGAGATTTAACTCGAAATGTACTATTAGGAAATTGACCCGAAGACGCCAGCTCTCCGTCTGGCGCTGCGCTTAATAAATTCAATGGCCATCCAGTTCAGAGCTCGCTATCTAAGGGCCGTCGATTTTAATCCAGCGTCAATGCTACAGTCCAAAGCAGCGAATAAAAACCGTTCTCCTCGAGCTTCTCTCTTCGTCGAGACGCTCTCGAGAGTAAAGAATGGCAAGTTGGCCGCAAGTACCTGGAAGTGCTGGAGAAACGTCGCATTGTGGTGCTGTGGGAGGATCGCGCGGATTGGGGCCCATGTACACTACGCTGTTCGAACAGTTGGCACAGTTGCCCAGCAGCGGCTCCTGCTCGTTGCAGCTGCTGAAGCAGCACTCGTCCTCCGAAGTCGGATGTAGCGCCCTCGCCGCCTGCTCGCCCGTCTCGGGTATGTTGGGGTCTGCAAACATAGAGCCGCCATTTCTTCCCTTTCCATTTTCCCTTTGCCCTCCTCTCAGCCGATCCGATAATCGGAAAAGCCATCGCGACCGGCGTGTCACGTCCGCGAGCTGGAATTTCCATTGGCAGCTAACGAGTGCGAGCGGCGACGTTCCACATGACGAAGGGCGTTCATGAAATCGCGAAATTCATCTAGAGATTTAGGAGGCGCGCCGTGGTAAACTGCGCGCTTGTGCGTCGGAACCCTTCAAAAATTGAAGGAAAGTCGAGGGCCGTCAATTTTCTCTTCTCGAGTCGCTCGTCATGAATCTCACGGCTTCGCTCGACTCGCAGAGAAGACGCGGCTCTTCGTTGTAATTTTTCGTCTTGTGCGAAGTGCAGTCGAGGAGGGATATGCCGTACCTCGACAAAGAAAGGTGGGTTCGCCGGCGTATTGCGTGGGGTATGCAGGCGCACGGTCTCCCGGAAGTAGATAGGGACAGCGTTGTTCCACGGATTGGCACAGCGAGCGGCAGGGCCTTATTCTCCGGCCGACCCAAGATTCCTCCGTGGGCTCCGAATCATGCGGTCCCCCGTGAGCAAAGTAAGGCACCAGGGAGCTGCACACCCATTTCCTATACGCCTCCTGCAAACAGAAATTGCGATGCACGCTGTTTAATTCATTTGTTCGTACTCAACGGGAAGCTTATAATCGTGTTATTTTTGCTAGCTTTCAGCGCGATTAGCCTCTATCACGCTTCGATTAATATTATTCGCGATTGTGCTTGGCGTGAAGCTTGGCTTTCTTTATCGAGCGGACGGCTGAGCGGCGAAAAATAATTAAAAATAAATATCGTGGAGGGGCATTCGCGTCGGAGAAAAAAACCCCAGATGCCTTAAAGATTAACCGGGACGCGAAGATTGGAGCTCGCGCCCGCGGGGCGAGAAGGAGGTGGAATGAGAAAAAAGCGAGAACGCGAGAGGCGAGCCGACCGGTCAGAAAAGCACGACGACGACGGCGGCGATAAGACGAGAAGCAGAGCTGCCGTGCGAGTTGACCTACATATTTCGTTAATGCACGGTGGCTTTTGCGCGCGTAATTGTGATGCTCGGAATAAGAAAAAAAAGAACATAGAGGAATCGCTTTCAAGCCACCACGACTTTTTGTTTCATCTAAATTAATCGATCGAAAAAAAGTAATAAACTCCCGTGGCTATCGAATCAAGTCATCTCTTTTAAGAAACAAAAAGATTCCCGAAGTAGCAAGTTGCTTTCTATACTCTATATTCTATTTTTTGTCGTGAGATAAAGAGAGAGGAGGGAGGGGAAGAGGGAGCTAGAGTATCGATTCGTCGGGGGGTAGAAGGTAATAAGAAAGAAAGCGAAACAGGAAAGGCAAGAGAACCACTGGAAATATTGCACTTCACACGCTCTAGTTGTCTTTTCATTGTTCCATATTACTTTTTCTTCTGTACTCGCATTCTTCGCGCTACTTATTCGTATTCGGTCCTCGTCTCTTTCACTTGGTGTACGTTTGTGTGTGGGCGCGCGCGCTCGCGCTCACTTTTAGCCGCGCGCAAAAAAACCTTTCCATTTTCCGGCTCGGACCCCTTCGATGAAGCTTTTCTCACTGCTCGCAGGGTTCCTTGATGGATACATCTACGTTTGTATGAAAACGAATGACACTCCCGGAAAATGAGACATTACAAGTGGCACTACGTGCAAGCACAATTATCCAGGTTTGTAATAGCAACATACGAACAGAGTTTAATCGTCGCAAATGCGAATAGTCGCTTTTCGTGACGCGTCATTCCTTCGAGCACAAAAATTAGCGGACGAGTATGCGTATGAAGAATAAAAAGCAACATTGACCCGTAACTAGAGTATATAATCTGCCCAATTCCGCAGAGGAGTCGGGGGGAAAAAGTCAAACGACGAGAGTACCATCTTTCCTCGTAAAAATTCGTGTCGCGTGCGCTTTTGAGATAGGTACATACACGCACACACCCGCGCGCATACACGCATAAAAAGACAAGACTTTGCGACCAATAAAACCGTCTGGCTATCTCTGCTGCGACGAAACGCTACGAAAGTCATGTGCTCCGACCTGATTCTCCCTTTGAAGGATTTCGAGAATCCTACATGCCCCTCGTCTATACGACAATCGGCTTGTCCTCCAGATGAAATTCTTATTAAATTGCCGACAGTAATTGTCCGTCTACTTATTGAAATGAGAGTTCCAGTTGACAAATACGAAGCTAATGCGAGTGAACTGAAAGGCGAAAAAAGGGAGGAAGACTTCGAAAATCGCGAGCGTAGGAAATTGCGAGTGAACAATCAGTTTTTTTTTTCGGTAACTTCGCGAGCCGCCGGTTGCCCTCTCGGTTTCCACCGTGCTTTATTGCAAGGGTACAGGCAGTGGCAAAAATGCCTGATGAAGGAATAGTTTACACTGGGTTAAGAGAGAGAGAGAAGCGCGCACAGCGATCGATCTGTCTTATCGTGCGCCACCACTACTGACAGCAGCCGTTCGCTCGCTCCCTTCCCCCTTTTCCAGCTCATCGAAACCTGCAGCTCTAATAAATCGAATCTTCCGGGCTGCCTGTATTTTCTTTCTAATTGCCCCGAGCGTTTAGGATGCTACGTCGATGTTTATCCACGGCTTGGTCGGCACTGCCTCGCTCGCTATAGCGGCGGATTCGATTAGCGACGCGTTTGGCATTTTCGCGCACATTGCTCGTGATATGAACTTACACGCTTGTCCGCGAAGAGTCAAGTTTTTCTCGATGGCTCGCGCAATTACAAAGTAGCTCGGCTGACGTCGACATACTTTTCGGCGAACAAAAAAGATCGCCGCGCATGTTTCGTCGGCGAATACTTCGTCGAGTTCGCGTCTACACATCGCCGACTTCGCCATTGCAAATTGGGCGTACTTGATTAAGGGCACCCGATCCTTTGAAACTTTACTCTCTTGGCTTCGTCTGCTCTTCCCGTTTCTGCAGAGGCATCGCGTATATATTCAGCTAATCCATCGCGAAATTGCACAGAGCACTGTGTATGTAATTGCTCGGGGAATTATGCATTCGCTCGTGCGACGTGTAATTGAAATTTTCCAATAGCAATAAAAACGATCTATGCGAGATTTTTAGAGCTCGATGTACTTGTTCAAAGATTCAATGCAATATTCGTAGCCGCTGCGAGAGCAGCTGTTCAAGTAAACGAAGAACAGCATAGTAAGAAGAAGTCGAAATTAGTAATCTCTTCCTGCATTTGTCCATCGTAAAATTGCCGTCGTGTAATAACCGTCGTTCAATCTCGGTTAAGATCGACGTAACGCCCATTAAAGCCGCGGCGAAAAAGGACGAGCCGAGGCGGCTAAAGAGAAAAAGCGAAGCTGAAATGCGCGGCGCGATGATCGATCGCCGAAGCCGACTGCGCGCGGCCGAGATTGCCGCGTATACGCGGGGACGCGCGAAAATTTTCGCCTTTCATCGGCGACGCCGCCCTCGTCTCGCGCACGCGCCGCGCCGCCGCGCGGATATTTCGACGATTCGCCAGTGCACGCCGAGCTTCGCACGCTTGGAAAATCAAGCCGAGGCGCGCGATTTCCCGGGGAAGATATTTCGCTTTCTCGCGCTTTCACGTTGAAACGCCGACAAAGAGGAAAATATGTACATAGGTATGTTTTGCATTTTCACGGGAAATGCAGTGGAGAGTCACTCTGGGAAAATATGAAAAATACACGAAGGGCGTGTATAGGCGAGCGAGCGCTTGCCGCGGACGACGCGCCGAATTCAACTCTATTGATTTTACAACAATAGAAGCTACAGCAGAAATATCAAGCTCGAAAATTAATTGGAATCGCCGTCGGATCAAAGTAGAGCCCGAGCGTTGAGAAAAAAAGCCACACACATACACACACACACGCACACTATCCGGTGCACCACAGATTTCCAAGTAACGAGCAAGACGAGGGGGTGGTAAAGGTCGTAAAGCGTGTAACCACTTTGAGCATGTCGAATCGTCGCTGTATAGAAGACAGAAGCCATATAGACAAGCGAAAGCTTCCTCTTGGTCTCTCGGCTGAGGAGGCAAAAGCGTCTCGTGGCAAAAGGGTATCGAACGGTCTTTAGCGGCTCTCGCCGCCACCGCCTGCCTCGTTTGAATGCTGCGGGCTGCTGCTACTGCCGGGTTAGATACCTGAAGCACCCACTCGAAACTCCCTACCACTGACCCAATTTCCGCGTACTCAGCCACGATACTCCCTCTCACTCCTTTTTTTGTAAGTAATTGTGCTGCCTTTGTTTGCGAATTATTTTTTACGCTTTGTCAGAGCGGTGTAATTTAAAAAAAACGGAGTACGGAAAAGTTCTACCTAATTGATAGGTCGAAGTTGATGTTTTCATTTCAAATAATTATATGGCAATGTATATTAATGAGGGATATTTCCAAACGTCTATATACATAAAAATTCGATTTCAGTATAATTACAGAACTGGTATTTGGATAGAGTTAATTACTCCTCCGTATGAGCTTGTTGATAAGTAATGATAAATGGAGACGCGACGTGAAAGCGGAAAATGAATACGACTACTGTTCTCTTCTTTGGCGCTGGGAAGAATCTCAAACAATACGTCGTTTTCTGATTTTCTCCAGTAGTCAAAATCACCTTTTTATCGTTACTTTTCAGAGTCGTCGAATGGTTCGATAATTGCTGTGGTTTGAATGAACCCCAGATTGCGTGGAAACTCTTTCACTCTCTCTCTCTCTCTCCCTCTCTCGATTATTTCCATCCCCCTTTACATCCAAAGTGTATATTTTTAATATACGATCGATGATTTTTCATTTCAAACTGTCCTTATTAAAATCGTTTTATCGACGGAAATGTTTGAAAAACTACATATTACTTGTATTTTTAATACGCGAGAAGCCAAGCTATGAAAAAAAAAATAGTTACGTCGTATTTGACTTATTGCGGCAAACTAAATGAAATTTTCCAATCGACTAAATTACAAGAAAGTTATAAAGCTTTTGGAAGGGAAAGTTTTGCGAAATCTCCTAACAACAAAGCCTCTCCTGCTTTAAAGGGCGTTTACTTCATTACTGGAAAATAAGACGAACTGCCAGCTTTCCTGTCCGCGCTAATCTACTCACGCCTTTAGGCGGCGAATACTTGATTTTATTATTTCGAGGCGAATAACTGCTCTGAAATCTCATTATATAAGTGTCTCACTGTTAAACGCTCACGTGTACTGTAGTTCTATTATTCTGCATTGTGGATAATCTCTTCAAAAGTATCGCAATTTCGTTATAATTATGTGAAACACGTTGTCGGCCGTGCGGAAAAAAAGTTTTCTATTCATTGAAAATATCGAAAAATCATACGCAGATAGCCATTGACCTGATCAAAGTGTGATTTTTTCATTTCGGTCGGTTTTTTTAACGCGTGATTTTATCCACATGGAGGACCAGCGAGGCGAGCTCACGTGAAAAACGAACCGAGATCTATTAAAACCAACAGTTATCAGGAAAAATGTTATCCTGCATGGCTTTGCATTGTCTTTTTTTTTCTTGGGCTAGCTAACAACGTAAATGCAAATCGCTTGAAATGTCGCGCGCAAATCGGAGAAAAAGAACCAACAAGTG